CTGGCATTTCACCCTGAGCACGTAGCTAAAGGCTGAGTAAACACTCGTTGTGGTGCTTGGGTGCAGAGCTGTGATTCAAACCCGGCTCCACCTCCCACAGCTGTGTGACTGCCAGGAAAGAGCTTCTCTCTGGACCTCAGTTTCCTCACCTGTAAGTTAGAGATGATAATATTAATAACCCCACATTCATGGGCTGTTGAGATGATTAAATGAACATAGAACATAGGTTCTTAACAAGATGCCTGGAGGTAATCAGTGCTCAATTTGTGGTCCTTGTTAATATTTATTTAAATTCTCCTCTCCCGGACTCAGTTTCCTCATCCATAAAATGGGGACAATGATCGCTGAGATCTCATTCGGCTCCCATTATTCTGCGAGTCGCTTTCCCTTTCACTCTAGCACCATGGTCCCGGAGGCCACTTGGTCTCCTCCACCCACTCAGCAAGTCCAGAGGTGCTGCAAGAGGGGTCTGAGCTACTAGAAGGTGTTTTGAAAGGGTCAAATATGACTCCACAACAGTCACTTTTTTTTTTAGCTACTACCATGTGCCAGGCCTGTGGATTTACTCCCTGAACCCTTGGGGATTGGTATTATTATTATTATTATTATTTTGAATTAGGGTCTCACTCTGTCACCCACGCTGGAGTATAGTAGCAGGATCATGGCTTACCGCAGCCTTGAATTCTGGGGCTCAGACAATTCTTCCACCTCAGCCTCCCAAGTAGTTGCCTGTTTTTATTTTGTTGTTGTTGTTGTTGTTTGTTTGTTTGAGTTGGAGTCTCACTCTATTGCCTAGGCTGGAGTGCAGTGGCATGCTCATGGACACCACAGCCTCGACCTGCTGGGCTCAGTGATCCTTCTGCCTCCACCTTCCAAATAGCTGGAACTACAGGCACATGCCACCATGCCCAGCTAATTTTTTTATTTATTGTAGAGATGAGGTCTTGCCAAGTTGCCCAGGCTGGTCACAAACCCATGGGCTCAGGCAATCCTCTCACCTTGGCCTCCCAAAGTGGTGGGATTACAGGCGTGAGCCACCATGCCCAGTGTTAAACTCTTCTGATGAGCCTGTGGGGCAAATATTATGGTTCCCATTTATAGATGAAGGAGCAAGTCTGAGGGAAATGGGATGACTTGCCCAGAGTCACAAAGCTAGGGAGCGGCAGAGCTGGTCTTGAATGTGAGTCTGCCTGGGGCCAATCAAGCCAGGAGTTTGACAGTCCTTCCCTGCCCCACACAGACTTGCAAGCATCGAGTGTCTCCGCCAGTTGCAGGGGTTCCTTCTCACACTTTAGGGCTGGGGCTGTCTGCACCTGAGAGGCTGCTGGGAAGGCAGAGTTGTAATCCCTACCCAGCTCCTGAGACGGAGTCTCTCAGGGCAGGGACTCTTAACCGGGGCTTGCGTGAACTTCCCAAGATCGTGTGCTAGCTGTGAGCATGTGTGTGTATCTACCTAGAGAGTGTGTGTGTGTAGCCTTCATCAGAAGTGCAAAGGTCACAAACCACAGCCTGAGAAGTTTCTGATGCCGTGGAGAGAACAGGGACATCCCCAAATACCTCGGTCTTCCCAACCTACCTGGACATAGGCACCATCTTCCACGAAGATGTTAGAGAGGAAAATAGGCCAAGGCCCAGCCTGGGCAACACAGCAAGATCTTGTCTCTACAAAACATCAAAAAATTAGCTGGGCGTGGTGGCATGCGTCTATAATCCCAGCTACTTGGAGGCTGAGGCGAAAGAATCACTTGAACTCAGGAGGTTGAGGCTGTGGGGAGCTGTGATCACGTCGCTGCACTCCAGCCTGGGCAACAGAGTAAGACTCTGACTCAGAAAGAAAAGGAAGGATGGGAGGGAGGAAGGAAGCCAAGGTGAATTAAAGCCACATCCCCAGCTGGACAGCAAGGGGGAACTTATGCCACTTGGGTCCAGTACTGCCAGAGAGTCCCAGGCCCCATCAGAGGGGAGGATGAGCCGCAAATCCTTCCAGGCACTGATTTATGTTGCATTCGTGCAGAATTTATTATACAAAGAATTTTATTCAATTAAACTTGAAATGCGTCTGGATTCTTAAAGGTTCAGTGGTGATCACTGGGACAGAGCACTCATAAAACTGAACAGGCTGTCGGAGGTGTCGAGGAGGAGACCAGGGTGACATTGTAGCTGACGGGGGATTCAGAACCAGGGACGTTTGTCATTGGGATGTGCTACAAGTTCAGACTGTGGAAATTACTCAGTGAAAAATGCACATTAACAATAGCTGTGAAATATCAGTTAAGGGAACTAGGCTGAGAAATGAGACAGCAGGATCTATTAGTGCCTGGCATTGTTCGCCGCAGCCCAGGTTGTGATTAAAATGACTGTCAAGTGGCAGTGGGGTGGGAGGCGAGGAGCACTGGGCAAGGAGTCACGAGGCCACATCCTGGGCCCCTGTCTCGGCCCTGACTCATCGGGATCCCTTGGTTCCCCTCTCTGAGCGTCAGGCTCCTCACCTGTAAAGTGGGGCACTGGGAATCTCATTCCAGGGCTGCCGTGAACTTCAAGTGAGGTCCTGCTGTGGAACACTTGGCTCAGGGCCCTGCACTCGAGTACGAGCCCTTCTATGGTGAGGGCCAGAGTCTTTGTTACTGTGGGCTTCTTGCGATGGACAATCCAACCATCCGCCCATCTCAGGTTTTGACACTAGGGCAAGGCAAGTGAGGCATTTTCAGGGGCACAAAATGTAAGAAGGGCCAACAAACTTGGGGATCAAGGAATATTTTCATGCAATATTCCCAAAGGTCAGATTATGGGAAAAAATCTATGATAAGCAAGGCATCATAATTTTAAATAAAAACAGATTGCTGTTTGTTTCGAGACCCTGCATCACTAGGCAGTGGGAATGATAGTTCGTGAGGGTTGACAAGGGATCATGGGTTGTACAGCCATGGTTTTTGATTGTAGAGCTTTTATCAATTTCCCCACCTCGTTCAAAATATGGGAGGCTATTTGATCGCTGTATAGAGAGGTACCACATCTTTCCTTTTGCCTCGGGCTCTGAATGGGGCCCACAAGGCACTGCAAAAGAGCAACTGAGGCTGAGTGCAGTGGCTCATGCCTGTAATCCCAGCACTGTGGGAGGCCATGGCAGGACGATCACTTGGGGCCAGGGGTTTGAGACCAGCCTGAGCAACATAATAAGACCCCACCTCTACAAAAAAAATTTTTCTTAATTAGCCCGTGTAGTAGTGTGCACCTGTAGTCCTAGCTATGTGGGAACCTGAGGCAGGAGGCTCGCCTGAGCCCAGGAGGCTGAGGCTGCAATGAGCTATGACTGCACCGGTGTGCTCCAGCCTGGGTGACAGAGTAAGACCACGTCTCCAAAAAAAGAAGAGAATGTTTCAGATAACCTACAGCAAGCCTTCTCCTCTCTCCCAGGTTGGCAGCACAGGAGTGAACACCTGCCGAGATGTCAAGTCTGCCTTGGACTGGTGGTTTCTCAGGGAAGTGCTTGCTGCTGAAAGGGAAGCTAGAGGCCAGGGCCTGAGAACCCAGATGTTAACGTCTGGCCTGAGCAGCTGTTGCTGGGAGGACAGAAGGGGACAGGACTTGGCAACAGGCAAACAACCTTGTTTCAAAGACTGCCGCTTTTAGGAGGTGGTGCTTACTCAAAGAGCCCTCTCTGTAGGCTACTCCCAGGGCCGGGAGTGTAGGATGTTGTTTTGTTACACATATTGTGCCCTTCCAGAAAGACTTGGGTGCAGACAGAACGATTTGCTGCCAGCTCTCGGGACACCCGCCACCCTGGCGGGGCCTGTGACTGCATACCACAGCATCTCCTGAACACGCGTACTTGTCCCATTTCCAGTTCTGTTTGCAAGCGCTGAACATCCATGTGCCAGACCTGGTGCTAACCCTGGGGTGGGGAGACCTGGGCATGACCACTTCCTGTAAGGTACACACTCATGCCCGGTTGTCTCAGCCACCCACTCTGCCTGAGGCTCAGAAGGGCTGCCACAGCATGCTGCAGCAGAAAGACCATGGGCCACAAGGTACCTGCCCCTCCTGCAAAATCAGCAGGTGAGCTGGCAGGAAGGCAGGCAGAAACATGCATGCGACAGGGAACGTGATGCTTGCTGACTCGCTGGCAGGGAAGGCGGCCATCCAGCCTCCTTGAGCCTGGAGTGGGCCCCGGGCGGAATGGGTTCAGACAGCACCTGATGGTGGATGGAGTCCCCAAGCCTGGCGGCCCTGACAGCAGCAGAAGCCTGCCCTTCCGAAGTCGTTTCCTGCAGTGAGCAGCGTGGAATCTTCAGGCGCTGGGGCTGTCTCTCCTCCCTTCATCAATATCCCCTTTCCCAAGGACACAGCTGGCACTGGCAGTGTCGCTTCATAGCAGGAGGGAGCAGTGGTGACAAGTGAAATAAAATACAGCCATGGCACCGATCTCAGAGGCATAAACCAGCCAAGTGCAGCATCAGAGAAATATGTCCAGTCAGTGTTCGCCTCGCTGGACGCTGAAGACTCATTTTCTTGAGCTGAATATGCTCCATTTCAGAGCCCCGACACTGCCCACCCGGGTAGGGAATGCCACCTGTAAGGTGGTGCTGGCCTTGCAGGGTCTCCCCACCTTAGAGGAGATCTCCTGAGCTGCCCCCGCCACACAAATTCAGTCCAAGCCGGGGTTTCTGAGCCTCACCTGTCAATCTGCAGCCATCCTGCCCCACACTTTGACGATGACAGGTGGCTTGGAGGTGACTAAACTTCCAAATCCTGTCTGCTTTCTCCTTTACAAATGTGACATTTAAAGCCCCTTTGGCACAGGTAAATCACAATTACATTTCCAAGGGCCTCTGGTACCATTACAAACCAAGCAACCTGAGCTGGCAGTGGGAAGGTGCTCTCTCTCTCTCTTTCTCTTTCTCTCTCTCTCTCTCTCTCTCTCACACACACACACATACACACACACACACACACACACACACACACACACGCAAGCGCACACACACACATACACACACGACTTACACCCTTCCCACTTTTATTCTTTTTGCAGCACGGCTCCTTCTCGTCACAGCAGTCACTCTATTCGCCTTTTCTGCAACACTGATTCCTTTCCCACTTCCCTCTGAGACCCAGGAGAGCCGAGAGCAGTGTCCTCAAAGGGTCCCTTGAAGGAAGTGGCAGGGGTGTGATCAAAGCTAAGGTGCAGAGGCCCGTGTCCAGCTCTGGGTGAGATCTTCAGGACGAGGACAGGGGAAAGGTAAACTCTCTGCACCGCAGAGGGGTTTACCAAGTGCCCTTCTGTTATATCAGGGTATTTCAGGCTCGGTCCAGTGGGTCCTTTTTCTTGTATATTTTTTCTTGTTTCCCTTCCTTCATGGCTGCATATCTGGCTAATGTGAAGAGATAATCACTGAGTCTGGAGGGGCAGAGAGAGAGAAGCAAACAGAATGACTTGAGAGGAGAGAGCAATGCTAACGGGGTGTTCCCATAACAGCCTTGAGGAAGAAACAAAAATGACATGCTCCCAGGGATGACAGGGGGTTGGCTTGATGGATGGCACTTGAGGCCAGTTTCTGCAAGCACCCAGGTTCTGACTCCAGTGCCAGGGCTGGAGCCATTCCTGCAGGACAAGGCCGTTGCTCCCACCCTACTCCTTGGGGCAGGTGACTGTGGGCCCCTCTCTGAGCTGGTTTCTTACTTGCAAGTGGCCAGGGCTCACTTGAATGACTCGTCACTTGAATGACGAGTCAGGGGGAACCTGGAGGACTGTGCAGATGCTGATTCTGCAGGGCTGGTCCCCACCCAGGGGATGCTCACACTGCTGGACTGAGGCCACCTTAGCAGAGGTGCCCTTGGCAGGGTCCTCCACCTTGGCACCACTGACATTCTGGATACTTCTGTGGCCGGGGCTGTCCTGTGCATTGTGGGATATTGAGCAGCACCCCTGGCCCCCACCCACCCCTGTTCCCCAAGTTGTGAACCCTGACGAGGTCTCTGGACATCACGGATATCCTGGTTGAGAAGCACTGGCCTGGGGTGTTCTGGTGACTAGAACCCAGTTCCTCTCTTGCTTCTTTCTCCAAACTCTCTGCACTTAGGTTTTTCTTCCTGGTTTTTAGCAGCCTCTCCCAACAAAATCTTAGCCTCACTAAGACGGACACAGGATTCGTCTCGTTCGCAACTGCCTCCCTGTGCCTGGTGGGTGCCTGGCACACAACAGACGCTCACAAATACTGAGCAGAGAGCGAGCACTGCCCCTCAGGCCCGCCACACTGTTGCTCCCCAAAAGAAGCCTAGTTTTTCAGAAGAGACCGCACATTCCATCTTGGTACCTGTTTAAGAACTTGGCCACGTTTGCATCTGTCTCTCCCGTCTGGACAAGAGGTACCACGCTGGAAAGGGAGGAGCACAGAGTCATGCCGCGTGACAAGATACACACTTGGGCCTGGGGCCTGACCTGACAGCACTTCCACCTGCTGCGCAGCCTGACCTGCAGACAGCAGGCAACAGAGAGGGAGGAGCCATCACTGGTGGGCTCAAACAGGCTACCCAGCCCCTTTCCTTGGGTGCCTCACACGGGGGCCTGACCAGGAGGGGCCACTTGATCCATCTTCTCTGCAACACTGAGTCCTTTCCCACTTCCCTCCAAGACTCAGGAGAGCCACGGGCAGTGTCCTCAAAGGGTCCCTTGAGGAAAGTGTTGGGGTATGAACAAAGCTGAGGGGCAGAGGCCTGCTCTGGGTGAGATGGCAGGGAGTCGAGGGGAGGGATGTGTCACATCCCAGCCTTTGTGCCACTGGGCCTGGGGTCCTCTCTAGGTGAGGCAGGGCAGTCAGCCTCTAGTCTTCAAAGGAAGGGGAAGGCGGACCCCCAGTTCCCAAAGGCCTACACTGTAGGCCTGTCCTAAGTTATGACTTAGCGTGACTTCACAGGGGAGAAAAAGGTCTGAGCAAATCAAGCTCTCAATTCCATGGGAATCCGAGTTCCCTGGTACCTGTGCCATTCTATGTGCAGATTTCTGAAATGGCGGGCTGCCATCTGTCGGACGCTGATGACATGGGGGGGCTTGCTGCCTTCCATGCATCTCACCTCTGCTGTGCTACCCTTGCTGGGAGGGCCTCTCCCCAACAGCCACCTTGGGGTTCCCGTCCCCATCAGGACTGCACAGCTGGCCCAGCAGGCTGTACGTCCAGGCCTGTGTAGCCCTGTGCTGCCTCTGCAGGGCCACATGCCCAGCAAAGAGCTTCTCCCCCCGAGTGCCCCACACCTCCCCCTCCCAATGGCCTGTGCTCTTGTCACCGTTGCAGCTGGGAGACTGCCTGGGGTCCTGAGGACCTAGCACCTGCTCAGCCATTCCTCCCAGTGGGTCCTCTGGGTTGTTTCTAATTTTTTGCTATGATAAGCACTGCTGATGTAGATGGCTTTGTACAAATGATGCTTTTTCATTGGAAGTCAGAGCACTTTCTGTCACCCAGGATCCCTTGGGAACTATCTGGGCTCCAGAGCCTCTCATGAAGGACAAAACCTGTGGTGTGGGGCTGTGGAGAGCTTAGGGTTTGGGCCAGACAGACCTGGGCTCAAACCAGGACTCCTGATTGGGTGGCCCTGGCCACAACGCCACCTCCCAGAGCCCCAAGTCTCTGACTCCTATAAAGTAGGGGCTGCCATTATCTCTCTCCCAGGGTTATCAGTGAGGAATCGATGAAGTTATGAACACAAAGTATCTGGCACAGCCCTGGCTACTGACTGAAGTGGGGCTTGACTTCTGTTTCACTGTAAAGCTGGCAGGAAGCCTGGCATGTGAGGGGTGGAGGTGGAGACTGCAGCTACTCTTCTGAATCTTCCTTGAAAAGCCTGTGTCAGTAGCTTTGGGGCCAGCCCTCCTCTTCCCCATGCTGACTTGAGGGAGGGCCAGGCAGCAGGTGGCTGGTCTGTGGGCCGTATCCCTCTAGCCCCCACAGCCACGCAGCCCCCTCTGGGCCCTTCTGCACCCAGCAGCCAGCAGGGTCCTTTCACACAACCCCCAGATGGCCTAGAACCCAGTGGCTTCCTGCTGTGCTCAGAATAAAGGCAGAGCCCTCTGGGCCTATGAATACCGTGCCAGTGCATCATCTTTAGTTCACTTGGTCGGGTATCGCCTCTGCTGGGCAGCACAGGACACTGGGGACAGGAAATAGCGTGTCCCAGTCCCTACCTGGAGCAGGAAGGGGCCCGGGCAGGGTCTACAAATGAGTGGCCAGTGGCCCAGGGCTGGCCCTCCCGTGCCTGGCTCCAGCCACTGCGAGGAGGCCCCTTACCGTCTCTCAGCCCGGCGGCACACAGTGCGACAGAAGTGTAGCGCGCAGCTGCTCTTGCCTCCCGACTGAAAGGAGATAGCGGGCATCGCATCAGCTGTGGCAAGGCTGGGAGGTGTGTCCGGCAGGCAGAAGCTCCTCCAACATCCGCCCTACCCTGCCGGCCAGTGTTCTGCCTCCAGGAGCCCTGCCAGGGACACCCGCCGAGCACCCCTCCAAGGTGGGCAGGGCTGGCGAGGGAGTTGTGAGGACTGGGAGGGACTTGGGAGACTGAGGAATGGATTCCATCACCGTAGCAAGCTAATGAGAGGGGTTTTGTCAGAGCCCGTGCATTCCTGTCACTGCCCTGGCCCACAGCCGCCGTCCCCCAGTGACCCACTGGGCACCTACAGGCAGAATGAAGGCCGTGAGTGGGGGCAGCTGGCTGGCATACATGTCGATCCACCGCTCCAGCTCCAGAATGGACCCCGCCTCGAATGCCGTGTGCTCTGAGGAGTCAAGGGGCAGAAAAAGCGGCATGGGGCCACACCTGCCGCACCATGAGGGAACCACCCCACTCCCTTCTGCCTAGGGGTCCCCAAGACTGCTCCCACCAGCACAGAAGGTATCTTCCCTCCCGGGGGCTATGCGAAGCTGATGGCGTGTGGGTCCCTGCGGGGCTGGTTCCCACATGGTGACACCCAGGAGAGTCCCCTGACCCCAGGGCCCTCTGCACACCCACAGCAGGTTGGAATTACTTAAGTGGGTCTCCCTGGCCGAGGAGCGTGGTGTCGCCAGGGCGGAGCCAACGTCCTGCAGCATACGCTGGATCTGGGAAGCAATGGAAAGTATGAGTCAAGACCTCTCCGTGGCTAGCCAGGCAAAGACAACATGGAGGCCACACCTAACACTCTTGAGAAGTCTGCGAGGGCCAGCTTGGCTGATGCTGCCAGGCATTGTATTAGCTGACAGTTAAGGGCAAACTCTGCCTGTAGTATCTGCTAATCTGGAGGCTGAGAAGGGAGGATCCCTTGAGCACAGGAGTTTGAGGTTACAATGAGTTATGATCATGCCACTGCACTCCAGCCTGGGCGACAGTGTGAGACCCTGCCTCTAAATAAACAAAGTAAAATAAAATAAATAATAAAGGCAAACACAGCCTGAAGCTTCAGCACAATGTCTTCGCCGGACACCCAGACCTGCTGAGGGAAGACCTGGTGCAGCCCTTTTGGTGTCTAGGGGAGAAAAAGGCTCCCAAGGGGACAATTGGGATAGGCAGAAGAGAAGTTTCAGGTGCCCACGGATGGTCAGGAGGGAACTCTGGTCTCTGATCCGTGTCTACTGTGCCCTGTGAGGTTTTTGTTTCTCCACACTTGACAGCCTGTGAGTGGGGCCAAGAGATGGACTGCAACAGTGTTTTCCAAATGACCAAGAATAAGAGCTCGGCGGAGGTCATCGGTGGAGCAGAAGCCTAGTTGGGAAGGCCTGTGCTCACCAAGGTGAGGAGTGTGTTTCTGGGAATGGAGGGGCCTCTTGAGGTCTGCTGAAAGGGCGTCAGGTCCCTGGGTGACAAATGGCCAACAGGCTCCCTGCTAACAGAAACCCTGAGTTTGTGCCTGGCCAGGGTCTGCTTGAGCTGGATGGCAGATGGCAGGGAGGGTGGAGCTCTGTGACCTGTGACCTTTGATAAGACACTGTGACAGCATGCGAGGGGTAGGCCACGTGGAGGGGAGCAGAGGCTGCCCGCCCATCTGGCCTGCAGAGGTTGGACAAGTCACCTCACAGTGAAGGGGGAACAGGAACACTGTCCCCTTGGGTGGCCACTGCAGCGCTTACCCAGGGGTTGGGGAGAGTCGGTGCTGGTTTGGGAATGAGATCCCAGCTCCTCTGTGCCTGGCTGTGGGGATGGGGGAGCCAGTCTTTCTGGGTCTCCATTCCATTTTGCTCCCTATGAAGTATGGGTGTTAACCTCCACCTGTCAGGTTTCTGTGAAGGTCAAATGGGGTAATGCACGGAGAGCCATGACCGCTGCTTGGCCTCATCTGAAGGTCCCATGAATACCTCCTGGGTCAGGCTGGGCCCCAGGTGAAACAGATACAGCCCTTGCTCTCCTGGGGCAGGTAGGGAGCAGACAGGAGACAAGGGACAGGTGAACACTCCTTTTGATGCCTGTGGTAGGAGGGTGTGGAAATGCAGAAGTGGTGCCTAACCAGCTGGAGGCAGGTGCCAGGGAAGGACCGAAGGAGGTGACGTGGAAACCACAACCCAAGGGCCACAGGTGAGGGGGTGGGAATCAGACATCATGCTACTGAACGGCTGCAAGTGAGGTCAGGGCTTCAAAGGAAGAGCAACAGCAGCCTGGCCTGGCCTCGGCTACAGGGCAGAAAGGGTTTCCTGGAGGAAGTCATACTGCAGAGGGGACTCTGAAGGCTGGGCAGGAGTCCCTCTTAAAGCAGGGAAAGCACACTGCCCCAGACACAGCTCAGGGCCCTGGCTGTGTGCCCTTTCCCCCTGCGAACCCGCTCAGAACACAGACGAGACCACAGATGATGTGCACAGGCCTTGCAAGGTTGGAAGCCATCCTCCGACACACAGGCACCAGCTTGTTCACAGGTTCTGGCAGCCGAGGCTGCCCATCCTTCTGCAGTCGGAGCCTGTGGTGGCCCCACTCACTCCCCTCTGGCTGCTTCCAGGAGCTTGAGCAGCCAGGCTGGGCTGGAGGACAAGTGGCCAGGTGCTGACCCTCAGGCATCAGTTTTTAAAGACTCAGGGGGAGTCTTTAGGGTCCTCCGGCCGGGCTAACTGCAGCTGGGCCTCCTCAGCCGCGCTCCGTGTGGGCACAAGCCGAGGCTCTCCACAGGGCGTCGTGAGCTGGTGCTATGACCACTGTGCCCGGGGTCCTTCCTGGTTGAGGGGGCCACGACCCTGGTCTCCACCCACCAGATGCAAGGGGTACTGCCACCCCCAGGTGTGACATCAAACATGTCTCCAGACATGCCCACTATGCCCTGGGGCAGAATGGCCCTGGGCTGAGGATGGCTGCACTTCATACTCCCCTCACTTGGTGCAGTCCTCACCACTCTCCTGGGAGGCAGCGTCACCTCTGGATGTCCTCATTTCACAGAGGAGGCTCACAGAGGGAGAGTGACCGCCCCCAGGTGGCACAGAAGGAGGGACGGCCGAATGATGCATCCAGTCCTGGCCACCAGGGCTCAGGGGCGGAAAATCCCAGCTTGGGTGAGACCCCGCTACTCACTTTCTGAAGCTCTTCTGCAAACGGGTGGCCTTTTTCCTCAATTAGTTCCATGGCAAACCTGTGAAGAGAAAGGAAACAAATGTGCCTCCAGCATAACTTTCCCAGCCTCCGTCTCACTGTAAGACAACAGCTTCTCAGGTGCCATTCAGCTAACTCAGCCATAAGAGCCATGTCATGTTTCTGCTGTCATTAAGAACATTATAACCTTCTGTGTGGGTGGGGCATTTGTTTCTCCGAATGCCTTTCCTCACGCACATTGTATTTCTAGTCAATAGTTCCCTGGTGAACACCTGCTCTGGCCAGGTCCAGGTGACATGGTGAGGACAGAAGTTGATGCAGGCTCTGCCCCACAGGTAAGGGGTGTGTAAATCAGACTTCACGTTACTGAATGTAGAGCTTCAAGCCAGGTCAGGGCTCCGAAGGAAGGGCAACAGCAGCCTGGCCTGGCCTCAGCTACAGGGCAGAGAGGGCTTCCTGGAGGAAGTGATGCTGTCAGGGTGAAACATGGAACTATCTCATTTAATCCTCACCAGAACACAGTGAAATGGATAGTACTACTATGATCACTTGACACAAGAGTAAATTGAGGCTCAGAACGGTCAGGTGATTTGTCGGAAGTCCCAGAGACAGTCAGCAGAGGTGCAGAATTTGAACCCAGGTCCGTCTGATTCCTACCCACCCATAGGCTCAGAGCCATGGGGTCAGCTCTTGGGATCCAGCAGGAGACTGCCAAGCTCACAGTTATCAGCTTGCGGAGTGTGGTGGACTGTGCTCTTGTTCTCTGGATATTTGCTGCTCCTCCCACCCCGTTGATGTCACACACATGCATGTGATTGGCTCTGGCCAATGAAATGTGAGTACATGGGAGGCATCACTCCCCTAAGAGTCAGCGTGAGCTTCACCATGACCTCTTTTCCCTCCACCAAAATGACTGGCATCATCCCAGACAGAGGTGGTCCCACCAGCCTATGTCCCAGAGTGAAGGTCATATGGAGCAGAAACACACCTACTCGGTGACAGGCCTGACACAGAAGGCCTGTCTGGTGTGACAAGTCACAAGGGTTTAGGGTGTTTGTTACCTCAGCATGACCTGGCCCACCCAGGTCAACCTTCCAAACTTTAGCTTATCCAAAAAACAACATTCACAAAAGGGACTGCATTTGGTGCACCAACTCACCTCTTTCACTTAATGTACGGACCTCAGTGACACACCCAGGCTCACCTGAGAAGTGGGGGAGCCAGGGATGGAGGGGAAGGCAGCTCCATATGGCACGGGATGGAGGCCGGTGCAGAAGCAGGCAGGGCCAGGTGGGAAAGGTGTCCGCAGCCCGGCAGCCTTGTGGAGCTGCCCAGCCCGTGCTTCAAGGCTGAGGCAAGTTCAGCAAGGGTTGACAGCCCCAGAGTAGCCACCCAGTCCCATGAGAGCTTCACATTGGTTATATTCACTAATGCCCAGTTCCAACTCAACCTCAAGGTCAAGCCCATTTCCCTTACCCAATAGCTGAACTTAATTCATCTGTAGTTCCCACGGCTTCAAACACTTGGTCATCTTTGGACCTCCTTTCTCCTGTAAAGGTGCTAGAAAATCCTGTGAAAAAATGTTTAGCTATCCAAAATAAGATTTTCCTAATATGCTGGGTTTTTTTTAAAAACCTTTCAACTTGAAGCATGGCATATACACAGAAAAGTGCTGAAATCATACATGCGCAAGTAGAACTACTCTTAATTGAATAGACCTCTGTGATCAGTACCCAGCTCGAGAAAGCAATTGCACAAGCATCCCAGAAGGCCCCCAAGTGCCCCTTTCCAGTTGCTACCCTCCAAGGGTAACCCCTATCTTCACTTTTTTCCTGATGTCCTTTTATTTTAAACTTAAAAATAACACACTAACTGTCCTGCTAAAGAAATAAAATGTATGTGAGCACATTATATGGGGGTGCCAAAATGAATATACATTTTAAGTGTGACGTTCACTCAAAAGATGTTGTTAATCAAACAAATGCTAGTGTCACCATGTGACACGCACGACAAAGAAAATGGCGGGAACACAGTTGAGCGAATGTCATACTACACATTGTTACTGTAATTTAATTCAACTTTGAAAATACATAGATAACATCTCTTAAAATGTGTGTACATACTTTTGGCACCCCCTGTATTTTACATGAAATCAAAGCCCTCTGGCCCTCCACCTAGGTCTCAGTCCCTGCCTTTCTCCCCCACCCCCTCAGAAAGGGAAGACTGCCACCTAACAGGAAGGACTGGCCAGGTACTGTCAGGTAGACTGTGATATTCTGCTGGACACAGGCCATTTTACAGAATGCCATCAGCTGAGCCACTTCATGACTGTGATGGATCAAGGCCAAACAAGGCCATTCTGTAATCACGTCTGTAATTACAAAGAATTTAGAAGAACGTTAAAATGGTGCCTGCCATATGTATTTGTTTGTTTTTACCTGTCCCTACCTTTGTCTCCTGTTTTGGTGTAAATCTTGGGGATTTTGGGTATCTTCGAGGAAGGCTGTAGCCTAAGGAGAAACACACATCAAGAGGTGGTGAGTGGGGATGGGATGGCTTACACAGAGGGTCACCTCCTTCAGGGGGTCCCCCAGCTTGCTGCTTATAACCTCAGAGGCAGCGTGGACTCCCCACTACTTAGATGGCAAGTTCTTATTGACATCTATCCTCTATGTCCCTTTAGTTGCAGGCGCTTTGTGGGCAAGCTCTGTCTTGCCCACACTGATATATGTACAGTCGCTGATATAGTGCACTGCTTCATGTAGATGCTCAATAAATATTTGCTGAAAGGATTGACTGGTCACTTCCCATAGTCCCTGCACTGTGCTAAGTGGATTACAGGCATTGCCTTCTAGAATTATTCTTGGTATCTTTCTCCAGCCTTAAAGATAAGCATCACCTATTACCTTCACTCTGCTGTTGAGAAAACTGTAGCTCAGAATGAGACTCACCTTTCTAGGTCACCCAGGAAGGAAGAGGCAGGGCTGGGATTCATGTCCAAGACTGTCCTAGTCCAACTAGCACAAACTGTAACCTCTTATCCTATCTGATCTCGACTCTACCAAGTCAGGGCCTCTTGGAGGAAAAGAACCCTGGGCCACTTCCATTCTACGAGGCTTCAAGTATACTCAGAAATGAAGAACTGCCAAAACGGGGCTCAGAAACAGGCATTTTCAACAACAATGTATCCATTTCTATTACAATTAATATAAATGGCTCACAATTAAAGGGTGCCGTGACAAAGTTATTCAAAGGTTAAATGACTGGATCTGTGAACTGTATTAATGCATTATCAGTGCATGGTGTTCTACAGGGTCTGAGGTCTGTCAAGGCCTATGACGAAGGCCATCCTTAAGTCTTGCTGGGGTGTCTGCGTCTTGGAGTGTCAGCTGCTTCGGAGAGGAGTCCAAGTCCGAGTTGAGGGCCCTCCTGGCCCACACGGGGCATGCCCTGCCCTGACTGGTGACAGCAGGACTTCGCGGGGCTGTGCCAAGACATGCTGGCCTCTGGCGCCCACGCTGCCCACGGTGGCGTCAGGACAGAGGCGGGATGTCACCTGGCGGTGGCCGCGGTGACCTCACGAGGTGCGACACACCCATGGGACGACGGCACGACTTTGGCGGTTACCCCCGTCCCAGCTGGGCACTCACCTGTCCCCGTTTTCCACGCCCTGAGGGCCACGGCTCTGGAAACGGGGACGCAGGAGCCTGGCGGTGCCGAAGCACTCGCGCAGGCCAAGGCGGCCTCCCAGACACCACGCAGCCATGAGCCAGGCGCTTGACGCGAGCTGATCCCGCCCGGCTTCCGTCCAGGCCCCGGGGAGACTCCACCCATAGCCCGCCGCGCCACCACTAAACTGCCAATTTCTATTGGTCCATGGCTCTGGTCCCAGGGCGGGACACTCCCACGGACTCGTTTCCCATTGGTGTATAGGAGAAGGGGACGGGAAAACCCTTGACAGCTTGTTTGCAACAGCCATTGGCCAACATTCAAGTCAATCGATTCAGGGACGCCCGGTTTGCGCGCTCTGATTGGCTGGAAGGACGACGTCACCTTCCCCTGGGCACTGTCGCTTTGGGATGGAGGAGTCGAGGAGCTGCTCTGGCTCCCGCGCAGAGAAGCAGGGGCGACTACAGGTGAGGTCGGTGTCGCGGGGCAGGGTAATGCGAGGTCCGGGGCCCGAGACGATCCGGGACCAGGCGCCCAACTTCTCTGGCTCCGTTTTCCCAACTCTGAGAATCCATCCTGAGGAGTCAGTGACCTCGCATCTGACGGTCGTGATTTTGAGCTTAGGATGACCATCAGGTGTCCTCGCCCTGAGTATCAGTTTCTTTAAGAAATGGGGATCACAAAAAAAAAAAAAAAGAAATGGGGATCACGATAGTACCTGTAGTGGGATTGAAGTCTTAGTGTAATAAGATAATCCACTCAAAACCTCATATAGAGGGTCATTTTGCATTTATAAAAATACAAAACGCCTACACCCGTAGACCCCCCCAACCACTTTTTAGGACTTGGTCTTGCATAAAGCCTCACTTAAATGTGGGCGTAACGGGTGTTTTCTGCAGTATCGGCTATAATTGTGATACACTGGAAACTGCCTAAATGTCAAGGAAAGAGTTCTTTCTGGCCCGTGATTTCATTTAAATTTCTACCTTCAGTAGTAGAAGGAGGAGGAGGAAGATTTCAGACCATGAACACAGCCAGTAAGTAGCTATGGGGTGATTATTATGTGCCAGACATTCCTGTTTCCTTTGCATCAACTTAATCTTCCTAACAACCCACTGAGGTGGGTACAGTTACTGCCTCTGTATAACATTGGGGGAAACAGGTTCATAGCTATTTATGTGATTCAGCTAAGATTATACAACTGAGGAGTGGAAGAGCTGGGGTTTGAACCCCCAACTGTCTCAGTATGTCCAGTTGACTGCTGCGCGGCACTGCCTTTCTGGTACATAGCAAGTGCTGGATGGTAACTGCCTTTTTTGTAATAACGATAAGTTTGAACAAGGCATTCTCTAAGAACTCTTCCTGCTGGCTCTAATATCTAGGGATCTTTGCTCTTCTCTCTGACTTTTCGTTTCAGGATTCCCAGGAGCCATGTTACCAGAAGTTCTGCTGGTGTCTGCTCCAGGGAAAGTCATCCTTCATGGAGAACATGCAGTGGTCCATGGCAAGGTAAAAAGTCCCTTCTCAGTAAGTTAGCAAAAAGATGATAAATGAAGCCTTCCCAGTAGAATGATATCACCTAGAAAATGAGCTTCAGAGGTTTGTGGATTGAGATGTGGGGCACTCAGATAGAAGTTGTAAAGATGATCCAGCAAGGGAAACGTGGGTTATCTCATTTAACCGTTATGGCTACCCCCTGAGGTATGCCCTTTAATTATCCTATTTTACAGATGTAGAAGCTGAGGCTTAGGAGAGAATTGGTAACTTGACCAAAGTCCCACACACCTTGATGGAGCTCAGAGTAAACCTAAGTCTGTCTGAACCCAAAGCTTATGTTTTTACCATTCCTCCACTCTAACTGCCATTCTTTATGTTCTCGTATTTCTCTTTGAAAACATGGTGATTATGAAGAAGTGATTCCTTGGTGTTGAGAACCTATAAAGTTTTGCATGCAGGAGTTAAAGTGGTTATTAACTCCTAACAGATTGGTTGTGGCTGTGCCCAGGCTTACGGGGGTATGCCAAGGTCTATTAGCAGTGTCTGCCAAGGGCATGGGTGGGAGTGGCCTGGATGCTAATATCTGCTCTCTTCTCAGCACATTGGCCCCTTTGCCACTTGTGCTTAGGCTTTTTGCCTTTGACCTTTATTTTATAGGTAGCTCTGGCTGTGGCCTTGAACTTGAGAACATTCCTCCGGCTTCAACCCCACAGCGATGGGAAAGTGGCCCTCAACTTACCAAACATTGGCGTCATGCGGACCTGGGATGTGGCCAGGCTTCAGGTGCTGGATACAAGCTTTCTGGGTAGGTGTAAGCAGGAAAAACCAGCTGTCCTAAGAGCCTGGGTCCTGAGAAGAGTGTGGAGGGAGGGCAGCTGACTAGTTATTCCTGACTGTTTCCCAGGGAGCCAGGGCCAGTTGTTCCAGGGTTGTTTTCTATCCTGACTGCATAAAATTACTTTCACTTATTCATTTAAAGTGTAAAAGTATAAAAACAAGCTGATTTGCTGTGGGCTATTGGAGACAGAGCATCAAGGTCTGTGGTTAAGTGAAGCAAATGCAAACAGCATACATATGCATTTATGGATAGTATGTATATAGATGTATAGAAAAAGTTCTGGGAGACACACATCAAACTGCAATGATGATGAGTCCCTCTGGGGGTCCTCGGGCCAGGGTGTAGACAAAGGAACCCTCACCTTCTATCGTGATTTTGGCAGGGAGAATATATTGGCATTTTATATAATTAAAAATTATTAAAACTAGTAATACTTATTATTAAAAAATAACAGTCAATACTGGGAATTGCAAGTAAGAAAGGATCATCTAGTATCTCCCTTTTTCCCCCCAATAATGACGCTGAGCATTTTGATATTAATTTTTCTGGGTTCTATAGATAGATAGTTAGAGTAAGTAAGATAAGGCAATCTCCTGATTATTTTTTAATTTTAGTTTTAACTTTTGTGTGTTTTTTTAAGACAGGGTCTTGCTCTGTCACCCAGACTGGAGAGCAGAGATACAATCATAGCCCACTACTGGCTCAAACTCTTGGGCTCAAGTGATCCTCCTGCCTCAGCCTCCTGAGAAGCTGGGACTACAGGCACACGCCACCACGCCCAACTAATTTTTTTTGGTAGAGATGGGGTCTTGCTATGTTGTCCAGATTGGTCTGGAACTCCTGATCTCAAGCGATCCTCCCACCTTGGCCTTCCAAATTGCTGGGATTACAGGCATAAGCCTTTGCACCCAGCCCTGATATCTTTTTTTTTTTAACCAAAACTGAGTCAGGCCATATAAACCATTCAGCAGTATGTATTTTTTCTTCTGTGTATCAGGACTATCTTTCCATGCCAATAAGTAAAGTCCTGTTTGCCGATTTTTGATAGCACTGGAAATGTTCCATTTACCCATAGCAGGCCAGCAGTCTCCATCAGTGGAGTCCCCACCTACCTCAGAGCTGGTGTGCATTTTCTGTTCTCGTTTGCCATCTCCTCTCTGGGCTAGTGCCTCTGTTTAGAGCAGTGTTTCTCAGCCAGGGAAGGCAAATGAGGGTGTTTTTTTTTCTCTAAACTGCACCCGAACCCTGGACCCCTGTCTTGCGAGAGCCCCTTGAGATGCCACAGCTACTCCCATATGTTGCTTGGAGGTGGAGGAAGAGGTGAAAATCCTCACCTAAAGGCAGCCATTTTCAGGCTCATCATGCCTTGGAATCCCCTAGAGGGCTTCTGTAGTGCTGGTGGCTGTTGCTGTTTTTACCAGTGCAGATGGACTCCTGGCCCTGCCCCTTTCCTACTGAGAGTTGGTAGTTGTGACAGAGGTTTTTGAAAGGGATTCCCTGGGTGATTCCGGGGACACACTCAGTTAAGAGCCACTGCCTTGGAGCATGTGTCAGAAAACGGCCAGCCAGAGTACCCGAACTTGCTTTCCATGGTACACAGGGCCGCCCAGTCCAGAAATGCACCCCGAGAGCTGGCTGTGACTTTTCTGTGTCAGTATACAGGATGGAGGCAGCCAGGTGTGTGGAGCATGCCTCAGACCCCTCCAACTCCTGGGTGAGCCTGCGTGGGTCTCTTAACCCTCTGGGCTTCAGTGAGCAGAGTGCTGCTCCGAGGATCCAGCAGGATTGGAGGTGGATGCTAGGGCTTTGAGGCAGAGTGCAGGGCTTGTTAGTTAGGACTTGATAGTCTCCTTGCAGGAAACAACAAGAGATACCTTGTCTTCTAAGAGGTCACAAGGATCTACCGTATATACTCCTTCTTTCAAAGTCCTTTCCCTCCCTCCTAATAGTAATAAACACAGTGAATATATATATATATTAGAAACAGTGTCTCTCTACGTTGTTGCTCAGGCTGGTCTTGAACTCCTGCCCTCTAGGGATCCTTCTGCCTAAGACTCTCAAGTAGTTGTAGTTGGGATTATAGGCACACGTCACCATGCCCAGCTACAGAGATCGTTTATTGGGCATTTGTGTGTGCCAGGCACTGATAAGTGTGCTAGTATATGCTAGCAGTCTTAGGAGTCTTCAGCCTTCCCTGGGAGCAGCTGGTGTTATTCATCCCTATTTTACAGATGCTAAAATAAAAACAAAGAGGTCAAGTGACTCAGATCGCACAGCTTGTTATTGATACAGACCCAGTCTCTTTAAACCCCAGAGCCCAGGTTCTGAACAACCATTCTGTGTCTGTCACAGAGCTCTGAAATGTTTAGGCTCTCAATATTTACTGAGCATGTAATGGGGGCCCTGACTTTCCTAACACATGCACACCCAACCCCATCTCCCACTCCCTTGAGAGTTTGACCTGAGGCTCAGGGAGTGATCTTGAAAGGAAGCTGGTCAGACTTGCTCTGCCTCCTCAGTGTCTCTGAGGAAAGTGACCCAACCTCCTGTGTGTCGCTGGAAACAAGCCTGAACCTCACCTTGCCCTCCTGCCCCAGCAGCCCTCGCATTTGCTGGTTTTATTTGTCCCATTCTCACTAATTATCTTTTGGGAGAGGTAAATATTTTGGGAGTAATTTTATACTCCCTTTGTTTTTGCTTTTATACAATGAGGGGTGAAACCTAGGCCCTTGTGAAATTGCATTAGCATTTTGTGTGTGTGTGTGTGTGTGTGTGTGTCTGTGTGTGTGTGTGTGTGTGTGTGTGTGTGTTGTATATGTGTTTTAAAACTACTATTTAAGCTCTTATTACATGCCAGGAGCTGTACTAAGAATTTTACAACCCTTATTTAGCTTTATCTTCATGACAATCCTGTGAAGAAGTACTATTATTACCTTTATTTTAAAAGAAGGGAAACTGAGGTTCAGAGAGGTTGAGTAACATACTCAAGGCCACACAGCCAGCAAATGGCACAGTCAGGACTCAAACTCAAGTCTGCCTGAAGTTGATGGATAGACTTGGGTATAAGTCTCGGACCATAAATTCTTGGCCATCCACATTCTGATTCCAATGACTACTTGATCTTTTGTATTCTATTGTTTCAAAAGCATCTGAGAGATCAGGTGTAGTGGCTTACTCCTATAATCCCAGCACTTTGGGAGGCAAGGCAGGAATATTGCTTGAGCCCAGGAGTTTGAAACCAGCCTGAGCAACATAGTGAGACCTTGTCTCAACAAAAAATTAAAAGAAAATTAGTCAGGCGCAGTGTCAAGTGCCTGAAGTCTCAGCTACTCAGGAGGCTGAGATGTAAGGATCACCAACCTGGAATGTCGAGGCTGCAGTGACTGTGATTGTGCCACTGCACTCCAGCCTAGGCAACAAAGTGAGACTGCGACTCAAAAATAAAAAAGCAGCAGGGACCTTCTCACCCACCTATGTCTGCTTGTTTTGCTTGTGGCACAGAACAAGGTGACGTCACACCACCCACCCCAGAGCAAGTGGAGAAGCTGAAGGAGGTGGCAGGCATCCCTGAGGACTGCGCCGCCCCCGAACACCTGTCTGTGCTGGCCTTCCTCTACTTATACCTGGCCATCTGCCAGAAGCAGAGGTGTGTGCATGGCCAGGGGACATCCAGATCCTGGGGGACATCCAGATCCAGTGTCCCATGGAGGAACGGGCAGGAGTACTGTCACTGCTGCTGGAGGACGCATGTGCTCATTCTAGGTTTGAGGGACAGCACCCCCAGCTGTCCCCACCCTGTGCCAGGCACCCGCCTGATGCTTTATGCACGGCATGCTCTTAATATTCACAGCAATCTGGGAGAGAGTTGCTGTCACCATGTTATACCTGGAGAAACTGAGACTCAGCGAGGTGCAGACATGTAGGGCCACGCGCTCGTTATTAGGTGGTAGAACTGGATAGTCGTTCAGACCACTCTATTACGAACACCAGCTTCCTTCTCTGGTCTCTTGGGTTCAGCAGAACCAAAGCCACCCTCCTCCCTTTGATCCACGGTGTGGCCTTGCCTGCTCCACACCGGTAGAGAGGTAGCTTTGTGCCACAGCCCACTGGCTCCAGGGAGGCCCTGTGGTTGGCAGAGTGAAGGTCTGTGTCCACTCTGCCCTCTACAATAAGTTCTGGGTTGTCTGCTCTCAAGGAAGCCAACTCCTGGAGGGCGACGGTACGTGGAGGCAGTGTCACTTGGTGACAGAGCAGGAGCTTGAGAGGCAGCTGCGTTGGTTCAGACCCCAGCTGTGCCACTTACCAGCTTGATTGAAGTGCTTACCCTCTCTGAGCCTCAGCCTCCTCAGCTGTAAAGTAGAAAGAGTAATAGTACCCACCTCACAGGGTTGTTGTGAGGTTAAATGAGTTAATTTCTTTAAAATGCTTGGCACAGAGCCTGGCACACAGCTTGATCAATGTTAGCTATTACATTATTATTACTATTAATGATTTCCTCAAAAACTATAGGGAGGATTAGAAATGCATATGAAATGCGCCTTGCACCATACCTGGCACACAGTAAGTGTTCACGATTGTTTTTTGTCCAGAATGCCAAGGGGCAGCCCTTCCCTCCAGCAGCAAGCAGCAGACACTGACCCAGTGACCGGGTGCTGGCTGAGGACACACTGTAGAAGGCCCAACACCTGCCGTCCGATGCAGGAATTTTCAGCATAAGTGGGGCATGCCCCCTTCAGTGGGGGGGCATTCCACAGTTTCATGGTCTAGTGGGGTGGGCATGTGTCATCTAAAAAGGCACATTCAGCACTATCATTTTTATATTTGGAAAGTGGGAACAGTATTTAGTGGAGACGACCTAACGTGAAGTTTGGCAGTTCTCACTGGGGAATGTACCCATGAGATGCAGCAATTGGGAACTTTCCGGCCCACCGTGACCACATGATCTTAGGTACTGCGAGGAGGGAGAGCACGGGCTGGGGCCTGAAAGAGAGCCAGGAGGTGTCTCTGTGGGTAGTCAAGGAAGGCCCCAGAGGAGGCTTGCTAAGGCCTTGAAAGGCGGGTAGGGATTTCCCCAGGGGTTAAGGAGCAGGGCTCTCACAGGCAGAGGGGCCAGCGTCTGCTTAGAGCAGGGCCACAGAAGAGCCTGGCATGTGGGGCAGGAAGGAGGTTAGAGAGCAGTGTTGGCGGTTCACCGGGCGCTTTCAGGAAGGGCTCGGGTTGGATGATGCAGGAATTGAGATGAATCCGGTACCCAGGAGTTCCTGCCGTTCAGTAGGGACACCGTTGAGGGCAGGAGGTCTCCCTGGGTTCAGAAAAGTGAAAAGTGGGCCAAATGCCTGGAGTTGGGCCTGGGTCTTGGCCTGGGTTCAGCAGTGGCCCCTCCCTGCCTTCAGCCACACTTTTCGCCCTACTGTGTTTCAGGGCCCTGCCAAGCCTGGACATCACTGTGTGGTCGGAGCTGCCCCCCGGCGCCGGCTTGGGCTCCAGTGCCGCCTATTCGGTGTGTCTGGCAGCTGCCCTCCTGACCGCCTGTGAGGAGATCCCAAACCCGCAGAGGGATGGGGCCCCCAACAGCAGGTAACCACAGTCCCCGCCCTAGTCATCCTCCCCGCCCTAGTCATCCTTCCCGTGCATCAGGCTCTGAATGTGCATTCTCTCACTGAGGCCTCCCTGTGAATGGAGAGGGGTCAGATGACCAAATGGCCGGCCCAGGGCTATACAGTGAGTGACGGCAGAATGAACCAGATGGTCAGAATCCAGAGTCTGAGCTCCGGAGCACTGACCCACTTTTGCTCCCCACTTTGCCCCCATCCTGACTCCTGGGGGATCAGGTCCCCATGGTGCAGCAGAAAGAGCTCAAGTCTGGACGTAGAGGGCAGCGAGCTGGGTGGACCCTCATCTCTGCCTTGACCTGATGTGGGACCTGGGGTTGGTCACTCCCCCCTCGCAGCTTCTGTGTCCTCCTCTGTATGGTAATGGCAATGCCCAAAGGGTTCTCGACAGGCTGCACCAGACACTGATAAAAGATAGTGTGATGTGCTGAGAAATTGGCCTAAGGAGGTGTGTTTATTACAGTAGGTGTGTCCTCCCACAGCCCTGGGCCATGTCCACCGGTGGGTTGCCCCTCCACAGTTCTCACTGGGAAGGACCCTGTGAGTCAGTAGGCCCTGTCAAGACAGGCCCAATGCAGACTTTCTGTCACTTGGGGAATGTTCCTCAAGAAACCACCCTGCACACAGGTTATGCAGTTCGTCCAAGGCACCAGGAGCTGCAGACATGGCCCCAGAATCCAGCTAGGCAGGTCTTCTATAAGGCATCTTTCTGAGTCCATGTCGCTTGGGAGAACCCTCCCAATTGGGGGCTTCCAGTCCTGGCTCTGTGAGCGCAGCTATGCTGTTTCAAGGGGTTGCAGGGCTCATGTCTTCCAGTCTAGCTGGCAGAAGAGAACTCCTCAGATGCCAGATGGACAGAGCTGTGCATTCCCACCCAAAGCCCCGCAGCGGGGTGGAGCAAGACCAGAACACACAGCGTGCTGGCCTGGGCCGGAGAACTGTCCTCTTTTGTTTGGTTTTGAACTGAGTTTTCCTTCCTCTGGCATGAAAGCGCTATGGTTTCTGTTTGCCCGGCCCTACTGGTTGCCTGCTAGGGTTTCTCTCGCATCCAGAAATTCCTTTTCTGAGTTGTATAGGTTAAACAGCTGAATTCAGGCTGAGCCCAAGGCCGCTGTGACCCTGATGGGCCCTGTGGATCTGCAAGCTGTGGATATTCTACCCCTGAGCATTCCCAGAGCTGCTCAAGTGGTTCCCATGTGTGTGGTGCAGGTGGGAGGTAGGGCAGGGACTGCTGTTCTCCAGGGGGGCTTCCAGCAGGTGATGAGAGGCTGTGCCCTCAGGCACCACTAAACTGTTTTCCAGTTCAGGGGGCTTGCCTGTTAGCATGCAGGGACAGTCCCTTCTACCTGGGGCTGGACTGGACCTCTTCCAGCTTGGACCCTTGGCCATCCTGTGATGAGATGGTGTCTGGGGAGGGAGGCTTCAAGACAGCTGCTCACCCTTGTGTACCCACTGCTAGTTACAATCCAGGTCAGTGAAGTCCTGATTGCCCTCGGTCCCCGGAAGAGATGCCCATACAGAGTCCAACAGACTGCTCTGCCTTTCAAAAGACAGGGTAACTAGGGGTGCATGTGTGTGCCTGTGTATAGTCCTTCTCATACTGCTTCTAACCAGTTCTGCCACCTCCCCTGAAGACTAGCCGTTCCTTCTCAGAACCCTTGGGGAGCTGGGTTTGGTGGTCCATGCTTATAATCCTAGCACTTTGGGAGGCTGAAGTAAGAGGATTGCTTTGAGACCAGACTGGGCAACATAGTGAGACCTCATCTCTACAAAAACTTTAAAAAATTAGCTGGGCATGGTGGCATGTATCTGTAGTCCCAGGAGGCTGAGGTGGAAGGAGTCTGAAGCCAGGAGGTAGAGGCTGTGGTGAGCCATGATCATGCCACTGTACTCCAGCCTGGGCAGCAGAGTGAGACTGATTAAAAAAAAAAAAAACACCCTTGGGGGAACAAACCCCAGACCCCACTTCCTTGCATTTCTGTGTCAGAAGGGACTGGAGCCCAGTCTCCTCTGAAGACTTGAATCTAAGCCCCTGAAGAAGGAACTGGGTGCAGAGGAGGGGCAAGACTCCTATCTGCTGGGGGCAGGGCCCTGGGCCGGGTCAGCTCCTGGGTTACCGCCCATGTGGATGGTTCCCCTCTTCCCAGGCACGTGGCTGCCTTTCGGTTCCTGGAAAGGTCCGGTTCCAGGCACTGCACAGGCTGAACACTTAGGCTGGAATGCTGTCCCCATGCCTTGCCTTGCTGACACCCCCTTGTCCCCCCAGCTCAGAGTAAAGTGCACCCCATGCAGCTTGCCCTACTCTTACAGAAGCGCCTGCCATGTAAACGCTGTGGTGTGACTGATGTGTTTCTGGTTGTACAGCGATGGCTTCCTGACCTCCGCTCTCTGTGTTAGACTCCAAGGGCCAAGAAGTCAGGGACCTTGTGTGTTTTGCTCTCTGCTTGGTTACAGGCACGTAGTAGTTCTTCAACAAGTACTGAACAAATGCATGTGAAATCTTGTGTGCACCGTGAGGTTAGTAGCTAGGAGCTTGGGCTCCAAGTCAGCAGATGTGGTTCTGACATAGCCGTGACTAGCTTTGGGATACTGTTTACCTACCTGAGCCTCAGTTTCCCCTTCTGTAGAAATGGAATAGTAATCGTGCCTTCCCTGTGGGGCTATTGTGAGGATTCCAGGAGGTGGCCCATTTGAGAAGTCGTTTAGCACAGTGCTTGGCACGTGCTCTCAGTATCATTGGCCAGTGTTCGCTCGTGATCACCACAGCCTCACAGCCACTATGGGAGCTAAAGGGCCACCGAAACCCTCATGTGACAGATGAGGAAGGAGACTTGGGGTGGTTGACTGGCCCAGGTGCCACAGCAAATGAGTGGTCGAATCAGGCCTCGAGTCACCCAGGAACTGTGATTGCAGGGGGCCTGTTTTGGGGGAGCACAGACTGTTTCCTGGGCATTGTACAAAGCATGTGTGTTTTTCCCACCCCACAGAATCCCTAGTGAGAGAGACACTCCTATCCCCATTTTCCAGATGAGAAAACGGAGGGGCAGAGGTGGAGCAGTTGCACGGGGTTGCTGGTAGAGTCTGGTGCTAGGTAGGATGAGACAGACTCACTGTGTGTCCGTAACCCCGCCACTGAGCCTTATCATTCTGAGGTCCCAAATCCTTTTGGCTTCTCCGTCGTGAGGGGCAGTGAGTCCACAGAGAGGAGACAGACTGAGACGGGGTAGGGCGCTGGCTGATCATCCTTCCTCGTAGTGTACTCATGTGTCTGGGTCGGCCCATCTCCGCTTTCATGAGCCTTACCTGCTCCATGCAAGGGAGCCGTCCTGGTGTGCACCAGGCCCGCTGGGGGTGTCTGAGCCTCTGGAGTTTGATTTGTGGTGATGGCACTTGGGCCTGCTCGCAGGCCTTGGGAAGCATCCCACCCTGCTGGCTCGTGTTGCAGGCAGGCTGGGTTCCCATGGCGTGCAAAAGGGCCACCCCCACTGCTCGCGGATACCTCGCCAGGTGCCTCGCCAGCACAAGACACACACACACCAGGCCCCTGGAGGCTGGAGTCATCATCCTCCAGAGAGGAGAGTGGGGCTCAGTGGGGCTAGGTGACAGCCCAGAGCCACTCAGCAAGTGGGAGGCAAAGCAGGGCCACGGGAACCCAAGGCCTGGGCTATTCTAGCCGTGCAGGCGCGTTTCGAAGGGAGGAGGCTCAGCCTGGCCCTTGGCAGGGAGGCTCAGGCCTGTCTTGTCCTTCCTGAGAGGGCTGGGCTCCAGCCTCCTGGCGTCCACCTCGCATGGTGTGCGGCTCCTGTCCTCGGTACCCCCACACGATAACAATGTTCTTCTGTTTCACAGGTGGATGGAGGAGGACTTGGAACTGATTAACAAATGGGCCTTCCAGGGGGAGAGGGTGATTCACGGGAACCCCTCCGGAGTAGACAATGCCATTAGCACCTGGGGTACGTGCTACGTGAGTTTATTTTCTTCCTTTTTGTGTAAACTCTTACTATAGCTGTAGGTGCCCAGGCATGTGTGCTCGTTTGGATGCACAGACTCAGTGGGTTCCAAGGAAACAGCGATTTCCTGCTCAGGGGCATGAGGGATATCCTGGGGCCCTGCCTCACACCCCGAGTCAGAATCTCCAGGGTGGGTCTGGGGTCTGGGAGTCTGCAGCCACAGTGAGTACTAGGCCATCACCATGGAGTGCGCAGACCATGCAGCTGGCCTGTCCTCTAGTGAGGACTCCTGTTTGTGGGCTGGCCAGCCCCGGGCCTCTCCCAGGTGGCCTGTCAGATGAAGCTGGGCAGCTGGGAGGGGCGGGGCCTTGAGCCAAGGCCTGGGGAGAGGGCACTTCCGCAGAACTCAGGCTCCTTCTTGCCCTCAGGACCCTGGTAACTGAAGTTGAGCCGATTCATGTTGTTCAGCCTGTCCCTGGACGGGGCGAAACTCGCACCCAATCCCGGGGCCGGCCTCTCTTCCAGGAGGTGAAAACGATAGCTTTCCCACGCGCTGACCCCCAGTTCTCCCCTTTAGGAGGGGCGCTCCGATACCAGCAAGGGAAGATCTCGTCCTTAAAGAGGTAACTCAGGGTGGGTGACACCCGGGCCCAGAGGCATGGCGGTGTCAGGGAGAGCGCTATGTCTTGTAAAGTATCGTGTGGGAGGGGCCCTAGCTTTCCCTCCACCTTGCAGTCCCCCTGCTGGCTCCCAGGAAGCAGGATCCATAGCAGTTGCTGCTTCCTTCTCTACCTCAGCTCTTAAGCGGCAGAGAGAATAGAGGGAAAGGCGTGCATGACCATGCTCAAGGCCCTCGACTCACCATTCATTCCTTCATTTGTTCATTTGTTCACCTAGTAGGCAAGACTCCCTGTCTTCCCATGTTCCTCATGACGCTGTACTTGGGCCTAGGAGGAGAAAGATGACTCCTAGGCCCTCTGGCCAAGAGCTCTCCACTTGGCAGGGTTGAGGACAGACTTGCCCACAGAAGCTGCCTCAGGACATGAGTGTTGTCCTGATATAGATCCTCAGGGCAGAGGCAGGACTGAGGCCCACAGGAGGCCCATGAGGCTCAGGGTAGGATGCCTGGCAGCTGCTGGCCTGTTTTCTGTGAGTCTGTGTCCGACCCTTGGCAGTCACTGAATTCACATACGTGCGTGTTCATTTTCAGCATCCTGTGTGCTGTTTGCACCACAGTCAGATGTCGGGTGCTGGGAGTTAAGTATGCAGCAAGTGGGAGCCAGGTGCCTCTTTGGCTGTCCCCTCGGGCAAGTTGGTGGCAGTATTTGTCCAGGACACGCTGCTGCCTTGGTGGGCCCTTCTGTGACTGTGAGCTTGGGGCTCTCTCTTTCTTTTCCCAGGGTGGCCCTCTCAACAGCTGGCGGCAGGCCCTGGGTGCCATGGTGTGGCATCCCGGCCCCTATCTGCACCTCTGGGGCTTCTGTCCCAGCTCTGTCGGCCAGCAGGAGCCAAGCCTGCCTCTCCAAGGCTCCATGTCAGGGCTCGTCAGCCTCGGCACTGCTGACACTTAGGATGGGGCATGTTTGGGGAGCTGAGGTGCACCCCAGCCTCTCCTGCTAGATGCCGGCAGTACCCATCAGTTGTGACAACCAAAAATATCTCTAGACATTGCCCAGCGTCTCCTGGGGCAAGACCCCCCCCCCTCAGTTCTGGTCCCTGCTCCACCTGGGAGCCACTGAGGAGCACGGGGCAGATTCTTCCAATGCTGGTGGGGGCGTTGCCAGTACAGTCTCGGCCCCAGTGGGAGCTGGCCCTGCCGGCTGTCCTGAATCCATGAAGAGCTGGAGCTGGAGCGTGCTGAGGACTCTGAGATGTCTGGGCCCGCCCTCAGGAGCCCATGGTCTGTCAGGGGAGGTGGTCACTGCCACCATCGGAGAGGAAGCATCCTCAGGGTTTTGAAGCTGCTGGAGTGGCAGTGGCAGGCACCATAATTCCAGCTGCAGGTCTGGGGCCTCCGTCATGGAGGCAGTGGCATTTCGTTCCCTCGGTGGCTAAGTACAGCGCTAGGCCCTGGGCTAGAAAGCCAACTGGGATGAGGCCTGGGCACTCGAGTGTAGTCACTGGGGAACTTGGGGGAACGATGGAGGGTCTCCAAAGTGGGCATGGGGGATAGCTGGTCATCAGTGGGACACCGGGCAGAGGCTGGGTTTGTGTCTACAGGCCTGGGTTTGTGTCTACCTCTGTACTTTCTGGGTGTCTTCGGTAACTTCTCCCGAGATCTCCTTCTCTCTGATTATTATTATCATTATTTGAGTTAGGGTCTCACTCTGTTGCCCAGGCTGGAGTACAGTGGCACATTCACGGCTTACTGTGACCTTGACCTCCTGGGCTCAACCGATCCTACAGGTGACTTTTTTGCAGAGACGAGGTCTCGCATGTTGCCCAGGCTGGTCTTGAATTCCTGGACTCAAGTAATACTCCTGCCTTAGCCTCCCAAAGTACTGGGATGACAGGTGTGAGCCACCATGCCTGGCCATCTCCTCTCATATATGGGGATCCTGAGCACAAAATCAGAAATGGTATCTATGCAGTGCTTAGCTCTGTGCTGGCCAGGTTTACTCCTCTGCCCGACAAGTATTATTGAGCACCTACTGTGTGCTGGATGCTGGGACCTCAGCAGGGAATAGAGCAATGTCCCACCTTTGTGGAACTCAGGCTTTTGTGGGAGGAGGCAACTACAAACTGCTCTGTGAGAGCTTGTCCAGTGGCCATAAGTGCCTTAGGAGGTCAGGCAGGGCCAGGACGGGAGAGCAAAGGAGGGAGCCCATTGCATGGGGCCCGCAAGGGGGAGATGATGCAGTCAGAGACCTGGGTGGGATTAAAGTGAGTTATGCAGCCTGGGTGGGGGCAGGGCCCCGCCGAGGAGATGCAGGGGCAGAGTCCCTGAGGCAGGGTGAGCGAGAAGGCTGGGACAGGGCCAGGCCCGGAGCACAGTGGCCTCACCGGACACGCCCTGAGTGGTGGCCGCTGGATGGCGTCAGAGCCCTGGGTTTGGTGAGACTGGTAGCAGGCCTGCTTGTGGAGGGCTGGGTGTGTGGGGACTCAGAGCAAACCCACCTTGCCTGCCGGCTGCAGGGCAGGGCCAGGAGCATGGCGGGAGTTCCCAGAAGCCATGTTAATCCCACGGTGGCCGAAAGACGAGCTACCCCCGCCACGCATGCTGCGTCACCACACAAAAACGCATTGTTTGTGGAGGGGCTCAAGATGCAGCCTCCCAGAACACTGCCCTTTTGAGGAATGGCATGTCTTTGAAGAGAAGGGAAGAGAAAAGCCAAATATAGTGTTCATCTTTTGTAAAGTTAAAAAAAAAAAAGTCAGCCTCCAAGGCTGAGAATCGATATTAATTTCATGGGCTCATGGGCGGTGAGATAACGCAGGGTCTGGCAGCCTTTTCCAGGCCAGCTGGGTTTTACAGTCCTGAGCTGTGAAGGGAGCGAATAAAGGTATCAAGGGCTCTGCCCAGCCCCAGCTGTTTCTGCCCAGACAGCCACAGTCCCTGGCCTCCGTCCCCAGCCTGCGGCACACTGAGTGGCAGGCTGGGCTACAAGAAGCGTGGGTTGGGCCTTCGGAGACAGCCAGCCACACGGGCAGTTGGCACCCTGCCTTTAGGGGGGATTACACACCCTCTGGGCCCGGGGGAGGATGCAGCTCCCTGGAGTCGGCTTATGCGGCTGTCCAGAGACATCTGCCCGCTCGGCCAGGGCAGCCGAGGGCAGTTGGCTCCTGTAGCCACAGCTAGTTTGGGGTCCCGGCGCCGTCGAGGCAGGAAGTGGACTCAGCATGCTGGGAGGCCTCCTATTCTGTCAGCAGGGGCGCCACCTACACCAGCTGGCCTGGACACCTTCCCTCTGTGCAGTCCAGCCAGGCCCCGGCCGTTTGAATCTCCAGCTCCCTAGGAGGCCTGCACAACAGAAGCCCAGGCCCTCCTTGCACACTTTGCCGTGGCCACTCTGACCTGACTTGACGCGTGTGCAGCGTTCTGCCCCCCCCCCGGGCGTCTGCAGGCAGCCTCACCTGCCAGCCGTGCTTGCCATCCCACCTTTGCCCTGACTGGCTCTTACCCTCCGCGATATTCAGCCTCCACATCAGGCCCAGGAAAGCCTTCACGGCCTCCGCCCCTCCCCACCATGGCCTGGTCCCCAGGCTGAGCCGTGCCTGGTGCGTAGTTGGTGCCCAAAGCCGAATGAATAAATGAGTGAAAAGCCAAGGGAGGGTGTCCATCCACCCACAGGCTGAGGTGGAGACACAGCTGTGGCCAGTGGCGGGAACCCCATGCTGCCCAGTCTGACGTCGCCTCCCTGGACCTCCATGCCCTCCTTGTGTTGGTGGGGTGGAGTCCCAGAATGCTTCCAGTTGGGGCTGCTTCTCCACCTGGAGTTCAGCATGGACCCACCTCCTCTTCCCTGCAGGCCACCAGTTCTCCAGATCCTGCTGACCAACACCAAAGTTCCTCGCAGTACCAAGGCCCTTGTGGCCAGCGTCAGGAACAGGCTGATCAAGGTGATTCTTGTTCCCTTCCTAGGCAGATTTCAGGCAGGGCCGTGACACAACATTTGGATTTTTGAGGTCTCGCTTTGGCTGAGGGGAATGGCGGGGCAGGGAGCTTTGGGAAGGCTGTTTTCAGCAGGAAAAAAGGCTATCTGCGCCCATGGCCTGGCCAGGAGATGGGGTGGGGATTCCTGAAGCAACTGGTTGGGCTCATTGGACACACTGGCTTTGCGGCAAGAATCCCACTCCTGAAATCGGGCAGCCGGCAAAGCGGAGACCAGGCTGGAAGGAAAGACTTCCCAGAGAAGGGTGTAGGTCATGGGGACACCTCGACCCTCCACCCACTGCTGGGACAGCTGTCCTGTGTCTGCCTGCCCCCGGCCTCACACACCATTTGCGTCCTTTCATTCCCCAGTTTCCAGAGATCATGGCCCCACTCCTGACCTCAATAGACGCCATCTCCGTGGAGTGCGAGCGCGTGCTGGGAGAGATGGTGGCGGCCCCAGCCCCGGAGCAGTACCTCGTGCTGGAAGTAAGCAGCCGGGTTATTCAGTCCACACAGCGGCTCCCCAGAATCCCCGGGGACCAAAACATAGGGGTTAGCCATACCTCTGACCTGGCTATCAGAGTCCTTGGCCTGGGTGGGTACAGGGGTGCATGCCTGTGATCCCAGCATTTTGGGAGGCTGAGGCGGGAAGATTGCTTGAGCCCAGGAGTTCAAGACCAACCTGGACCACATAGCTAGACCTCATCAATAAAAAAACAAAATCAAAGTCAAACAAATTAGCCAGGCATGGTGGCACATGTCTGTAGTCCCAGCTGCTTGGGAAGCTGAGATGGGAGGATTGCTTGAGCCCAGGAGGTCAAGGCTGTGTGAGCTGAGATCATGTCACTACACTCCAGCCTGGGTGACAGGAGAAGGGCTCCAGCTCAAAAAAAAAAAAAGAATCCCCGGGCTGGGCCTGGAGTTTGTGTTCACAAGCAAGCACATGGGTCTTGCCTTACAGCCTCTTCCAGGTGCTTTTGAGCAGTGGAGGGCAGCTGGGAGTTTGGGGCAGTGCCTGGCACATGCTAAGTGTGAAGGGCCAGGTTTAAGGGTCATGCATCTGAAGAGCTCTGGTAGATGGGGACATTGCTGACACAACATTCTCTAGAGTCCAGGCTTCCCTGGCCACCTCCATGCTGTTTCTGCCACCTGCGTGTGTTTCTTCAGCAGCTCTTCAGCGACCTCCTGCTTCAAGTCAGATAGGTTCTGAACTTACTCTTCTGTCTTGGTAGCCCAGTCCCACCATGGGCATCATTCCAGTGTTGGGGCTGAGACCACGAACTCTGGATTAGACTGAACCTGTGTCTGCCACCTCTGCTGGCCTCATGGGAGTGTCCGAAGAATGTCCGGGGTCCCGTGGGTGACGCACAGACATGATGCCTGGCGTGCCACGGCCTCCGTGAGCCAAGGACCGGGCCCCACCTCGGACACGGCCTATCTGGCCGGTGAATGTGGCTGACATCAGCGAGCCATCTGGCTGCCCTCGGAGAGTGACAGCGGCTGCCCGAGCCGGCGCGGCTGGATGGCAGCTGTCCAGGGAGGGGCTGGAGGGGCCCTCCACAGGGGCCCTGCAGTCTCCACATCACCACAGTCCCCACCCCTCTGTGATTTACTGCCTGCTGCAGTCATTGCCCGGTGCCTCCCTGGCCCCAGCACTTGAGTCTGCAGCCACAGCCCAGAAGCCACTGCTCAGCCAAACCTTTGGCGAATGATTTCTCACTTGATCCCCACCACAGCCTACTCGTGAAGTAGGTGTGCTGTCGCAATGTACCGGCAGAGAAACGGAGACCTGAGAGAGGGCTTCTGAGGTCATCCAGCCGGTGAGTGGCTGAGCTGAGCCACGCTGGCTGACTTGTCTGCTCCTGGATTAGCAGATCCTCAATGCACACCTACTACGCGCAGTGCCAGGCTCCGTCTGATTCCCGTGCTTCTGCCCTCCCTCCCCAGCCTTTGTCTTCCTGGCTCTCGATTCCCTCCACGTAGGAAGGAGGGAACGTGGTCCCCTTGAGTAGGAAATTAATAATGATAGAGTACTGCCTAAAATACACCCTGTTGAGCCCCCGGAGAACACCACGGAACAGCACGTTGATTATACACTGTGCATATTTTTGGCTGTGGCAACCGCTGAAATGTGCAGCTCGGCTCCTGGACAGCTTTGCACTCAAACCAGTGAGCTGTTCTCCTGTGTCACAACCTGTCATCTGATCCTTGACAGATTTTGGATCAGAATGTGACAGGTGTCTGGAACCTGCTTCGGTAGCGTGACACGTGGTGTTCAGGCGCAGAGCGAGGCCCCCAGAAGCCCCCACTCACATCCAGCCCGCTGGGCTGGTGAAAGGCACCCAGGGCTGCCACTGGGCCATCATGCCTGTCTGCTCGTTTGTTAGCAGTGCTGGGGTGCGAGGCAGGCAGCAGGGGAAGGCTGCCACAGCCCTGACCAGCTGGCCAGCCCCATGTGGGCAAACGAAGTGGCCTCAGCGGAGATGCTGTAGTGACTGGCAACTCGTGGCACACAGGCATTCCCAGGGCCCTGGAGCAGGGCTTGGGGCTGTTGGCCACACACCACAGGCCCTGCCTGCTCCCCACAGGAATGGGGGCGGCCCCAGTGCCAAGGGTGCTCTCGAAGGCAGGGTGGGCAGGAGCTTCATGTCAGGCCCATCCCGCCTCCAGGGCTGACTCAGGGCCTTACTAGCTCAGTGACCTTTGGCAAGTCACTTGCCTCACTCTGCCTCAGTTTCCCCTTTGTAATGTACCCATAAAAATACCAACAGCAGCTGATGTTTGCAGAGCACTTATCCTGTGCCAGGCATTGAGAAAGACTTGCTGTGTCTCATCCTCACGGCAGGGAGGCAGACACTTATGATCCCTGCTGATGCGGGGACAGCAGGCCTAGGGCAAGGACCTTGCCCCCAGAAACGCAACCAGCCCGCCTGGCTCCAGATGCCTCGTTCTTCCCTTCCCCATGGCAGAAAGTGTGGTGGGTCTCACCCTTAGAGCCGTAGCACGTCACAAGCATTTGGTAAATTGAATGTGCATCGTGGGTGCGGACAGTAGCATATGTTTGTTTTGTTATTTCATCCACACGCATCTTGCTGGATCCTTGGACAGCAGGAGTTTTGTTGTGCCTAATGGAAGAAACCTAGACAAACATCTAGTGATTTCCCACCCCCATGACCTCGCCAGAACTGCAACCAAGCTCTTGTTCTGAAATCAATCCCTGAGGCAGCTATAGGGTGGCATGGTGTATTACCGGAGACCTTTTCTCTTGCAGATGACAGAAAGGTGGGGCAGGCGGGGCTTCATGTCAGGCCTACCTGGCACCTTACAAGCTCAGTGACCTTGTGCAAGTCACCTCCTCTCTGAGCCTCAATTTCCCCGTTATAAAGTGGGTTTAGCAGAAAAGGAGTTGGCTCCTAACTGAGAAGACCAGACATAAATGGCTTTAGGTATAGCTCAATCCAAGGGCTGAAAGAATGCGGTTGGGAATCTCTTCAATCTTCCGTGTACTCTCTGGCCACAGGGCAGGACAGATCATCTTGGCAGCATAATCTGAAGTCAGCTAGTTCAGCAGCTCCAGCAGAAAGAGGCAGAGAAAATGCTGGGAGGACCCTGATTGGCCCACCGTGGGCCACATGCTCATTTCCAGTCCGTTGCCAGAGCATCTGTGGTCCAGCCTAGGACGTGTTCACTGTGGGTCTGGGAGGTTGAGGTCAGCTTCCCGAGGCCTGGGGTTGTGAAGGAAGGAGGGCTGCTTTTGCCAGTGGAGGGGGCAGTGTGCCAGGTATTCAAAGCCATTAACTTGTTCCAAAACATCAGCTGGCAGATGGAGGGGTAGATGCAGGTGGGCACGGTCCTCGGCCTCAGGTGGCCACGTGCTCACAGGCGGAACCCTCTCCCAGGAGCTCATTGACATGAACCAGCACCACCTGAATGCCCTTGGCGTGGGCCACGCTGCTCTGGACCGACTCTGCCAGGTGACCATGGCCCATGGACTGCACAGCAAGCTTACAGGCGCAGGCGGCGGTGGCTGTGGCATCACACTCCTCAAGCCAGGTAAGGGGTGGTGCCAGGCCAGTTGCCAGCCTGGGCTTCTGTGAGGGTTCCACCCAGAGAGTTCCCTTAGGAGGAGAAGAGGCCTTGGAACAGGTTGTGGCTCTGCTTAGTGGCCTTGGGCAAGTTAGGTGACTTCACTGGACCTTTGCTTTCTCGTTGGAAAAATAAGGATGAGAGTGTCTAGCTGGCAAGGTCATTTCACAGTTTTAAGAAGAGGGCGCTTGGGAGCCTGGCACAGGGCTGGGCTGTGGGAGGAGCTCCTGCCACAGCCTGGGAAGTAACCAGGGCGTCGTCCTGGCCTTGATGTGGCCAGGGTGGGGTTTCGTCTTGCTCCAGAACAACAGGGCTTCCTGTTGGCCTGAGGCCAGGTCACGTGCCTGGGGTGTGACACCCCCCCATTGCCTTTGCCCTTAGGGTGGCTCCTGGCATGCAGTGGGCACTGCCTGCTCCGGCCCACCTCTGTCTCCCCCGTGTTCTGCCTGCCCCTTCTGGTCTCCCTGCTCTTTCTCTCCCCCCTCCCCGTGACCATCCTCCCTTCCCCTTTGCTTTGCATGGAGCCCCCCGTCCACCCCAAGGCACCTCCCTCTGCACCCTGAGTGGTGACCCCAGGCCTCTGGAGGTGGCCACACCCTCACTCAGTGACCCCCAAGGGTCTGCTCCTGGCTCAGGGCTGACGGCAATGGTGAGAGCTGGTGTTTCTGGAGTGTGCCCAGGGTACCAGGTGCCATGCCAGGCAGTTTGCCCACATGGTCTGTTAAGCCTCCCAGTAACTCTGGAGGGTAGGTGTCATGAGCCCCATTCCCAGGAGAGTTCACTAAGGCTTGGAGGGGCATCACCTGTCTGAGGCCTCATGGCCAGTTCGTGGCAAGACCAGGTCTGTGTGACTCAGAGCCCCCCAGGGAAGGAGCAAGGCTGGGCACTCCGGCACGCGGGGACCACGGCCTGGAAGGCCACAAGCTTCCCCTCTGGGAGTGGGGCTGCTAGTGGTGACCCACTCTCCCTCCCTAGGTCTGGAGCGGCCGGAGGTAGAGGCCACGAAGCAGGCCCTGAGCAGCTGTGGCTTCGACTGCTGGGAAACCAGCATCGGCGCACCCGGAGTCTCCGTACACTCAGCCACCTCCCTTGACGGCCACGTCTGGCAAGCCTTGGATGGCCTCTGAGATGAGCCCTGCACTATGGCCCACAGAGAAGCCCCTCGCGGGCTTATTCTGAGGACTGGAGTTGGCCTCTGTTCTGGCCAGCAGTGCCCAGCTCCCAACATTGACAGGCCCCTCAGCCCCTGGAATGTGTTTCCTGCTGGCCATACTCCTGCAGTCCCTGCGGTGGACCCCAGGGATACACATCTGTGCTCTGCACTCTCTAGGCAGCTGGGCAGTGGGTCAAGTGGTCCTCAGGTGTGAGGGGCCTCTTCCTGTCTTCCCCAAGGTGCCCGGGGATGCATCTGCTTTGGGTCCCTGCCTTTGCCTGTGGGCTCCCCGACAACCTTGGCTGTGCTGAGACTTCTGTCTTTCTCCCTCTGCCTAGACACCTGCCCTGTCTCTCAGCACTACACGGCCCCCCTCCTCCTCCAGGAAGCCTTCCCTGACTAGCAGGCTGACCCTTGTCCTGCCTCCCTCCCGGTGCACCTGCCACCGGGATCCTTCATTTTTCACAGCCTCCCATCGGTCCAGCCAGATGGGGCTCCTGGGGACTGACCAGGAGGTGGGCCTGCCTTCTGCGCCCTGGCCTGAGTCCCGGCAGAGCGAAGGCCAGGCCGACCTGCTGTCATCCGTACCCAAGGGGTCTGCGGGCAGGGTGGCACAGAGGGAATAAAAAGTTCCGAGCACACAAGTGCTCCACCCGTCCAGGAAGATGCTGACCGGTGGCCGCCCCTGCAGCGCCTTCCTCCGTGCCAGGCCTGGGGAGAGGAGGGGGCCTTGGGTCGCCGGCTGCCAGCCAGGCTGGGCCTTCCTCGACGGGCCTTGCCTGGGGCTGGGGGAGACCAGATGCAGCCGCCAGGCCGAGGCGTGGGCTGGTCGCGCAGCCCCAGGCTCCTCGCCAGGTGGCTTCGCGCCTCCACGCCCTCCCGTGCAGACTTCCCAGGCCCGACACGACCGCGGCCCTTCTGGAGCGCTGCTCAGACCCCGGCGCCTCCCGACCCCGTGTGAACCTCCCAC